TTTACTACATCAAAAGCACCAAATATTCTATAATATAAAATATAAACATTTGTCACCCATATTTTCTCTAACTAAGGGCTCTCCGGCTGTTCTTATTTAATTAAGCTGTTTCTCCCTTCCTTTCCACATTTTCATTCTTGAAGCCATTCTCTTTAAAGCCTTCACATAACAGGATTTCAAATAAATTACATAGGTATTAACCAATATAAGAGACTACACATCTTGTTGGGACTCTTTAGGAGTAAGTACCTTGTACATTACAGCAGATGTTCTGTTTTTTAAGCCTGAAGAGTTCAATAAACAGGAAATCAGTCATGTAGTGCCTCCTACTGCTCAGTAACTAATATAACATCTAAAGCTATACATAAAACACCCCATCTCACCCTTAAGGGGAGGCAATATTGAGACCTCTAACACGAGGCCCAGACCAACAAAAATTAGAAAACTGTCTCATAGGACAAAACAGGTAGGTATACTTGCATAGCTTCCATACTATGCAACTACTACGTCCAACTACTTACAAATTCAAATTGTGGACAAGCTACTCATGCACTCTGCAGGATATAAACACGGGATGTAGTAGTAAGAAAGGGAAGCAGCATTAATTAGCCTGATCAAACCAGTTCAACAAAATTAATTTGGGCTTTCCATTATTCGTGGAAGAAATAATTCACTCTAGTATTTCAGTCTTTAAAAGGTTTGCTAATTAAGATTGAAATTAGGCATACATTGCTATCAGCATCTCGGTAAACAAGTTTGCAAATCTTGGAACTCAGTCCATCTTGTTAAATAGCAGAAGCAACTAAGAGAAAGTTCTCTGTACACAACTTTCCACTCCTTTTCCTTACTTGGTACAATTCTGATTACCACAAACATTTTTAATAAGCCATATACAAATAATGAAGGATTAATGCCATGTACTGTATATATGGATAACAGGATAATTTTTAAAAAAGGTTTATTAGGACAAGGCTGAAGTGAAAAGTTCTATAAGCCAGTAGCTATTAGCTCATTATACTATATAAGATACATTCCACTATAGCTCATTCACCAGAAGGTACAAAAGAATTTTACAAAAAAGCAGACTCCAATGGCTTCTTTCTTGTCTTTCTATATTTTCTCACTGTTCCAGTTTAGTGGTTCCTTATTTCTTGTTACTTCCATCCACCTTCAACTCTTTTTTGCATTAACTTCTTCTGCTATGAAATCCTATCATTGCTCTGAGTTTATTGAAGTCTACTTTCTTAAATCTTAGATGTTGAGACTTTGGAAAAAGTGCAAAGAAGAGCAACTAAGGGCCTGGAGACAAAAACATATGAAGAACGGTTGTAGGATTTGGGTATGGCCAGTCTAGAAAAGAAGGACTGGGGTAACATGATAGCAATATTCCAATATTTGAGGAGCTGCCACAGAGAAGAATGGATCAACTTTTTCCCCCCAAAGCACCAGAAGGCAAGACAAGAAACAATGGATGGAAACTAATCAAGGAGAGACACAACTTGGAATTAAGGAGCAACTTCCTAACAATGAGGACAATTAACTAGTGGAACAGCTTGCCTTCAGAAGTTGCAGGTGCTTCATCTATGGAGGCTTTTAAGAAAAGATTGGACAACCACCTACCTGAAATGGTATAAGGTCTCCAGCTTGAGCAGGGACTAGAGGACCTCCAAGGTCTATTCTGATTGGTTGAAAGTCCCAGATAATAGATACTAATCTAGTTTTCTTTACATTCTTTACATTCAAAAACTCCACCATATGGTGGCTTTTTTACAACCCTCCACTCCTACCATTCACCAATTTATTCTTTATTTCTATCAGGTCAGGAATAGCTGAACATCTTTGGCTTCCTCAACTTACTAAAGGAGGAAATTGTCAACAAGATAGATTAGTTATTTCCTGAAACTATTATGCTTAGCAGAATTTGTCTACATCACTATTATTACATGCCACTTTGAAAGATCTATGGTTTATTTCCAGAAAACATAATCTGTATCTTCTTGATAAAGCAGGCAACCATAATAATAATAATCAACAGCAGTATCATTTTTAACCATTCCTCCACTTATTTCAACTCATATATTTTTCTAGTATTATTAAATTTACTCACTTTGATATTTTAGTGGGTTTGCTTCTTTAATCTGGCCACAATGATCTATGCTCTGGTAACCCTTCCATTAGATTACTGTAATATCTCACATGCCCTTGAGGATGACTCAGAAGTGCCAACTACAGCAGAATTCAGTTAATATGACTTTAACTGGCCTTGCCAGTTTAAATCATTCCTACCTTTAAAAAAAAAAACCAGTTGTTTATTGCCTGAGCACAATTAAGCAGTCTGGTGCGTTTTAGATAGATTAATATTGCTTCCAGAATTGTCAGCTAGTGTGGCTGTTGGGAGTAACCAGGTTGGAATTTTGTTTTAAAGTTTCCAAGCACCTCTTCAAAGGTTTTTTTTTCACTGAACAAGCCCCTTGTATGAGTCCAATGACTCATTTATAACCTAGTTAGGCTAGTAGTTCCTAATCAGAACCAGCATAATTGTGTAAAACACATTATAGAAGAAACATAGAGACTTTTGACTCATATGTATTAGGTACATTAAAATAAAATAAAAATGGGACTGTAATTTTATTACGTTATTCTACTGCACTAAAAAGAGTCAAAAGTCAATGCTTTTCTTTTTCCCCTACAGTTTTTCCATTCCTTTTTTCTGTCCCCTTCATTTTCCCACTATTTTCATTTTCAGTTATGCTTTATACTTTGATAAGTTTAATAAAATTATAATTTAAGAAACATGGACAATCTTAGCTGCAGCAGAAAGAAATATCCATTCTATTTTTGTTTTCTTGTTTCTTTAAGTTTCTTCAAGTTCCATCACCCAAAATCCAAATAGGAGAAGCTGATGCATATAGAAAGCAAATAGTTTTACCCATGGAAAATAACAGCTGGACTAAACAAAAGGAAATTCTTCTAAAATATATTCAGTAATATTTCTGTCCTTCATTTATGTGCCTCTGGGATGAGAAAGAGAATGGACCCACTGTGAATTTGCATTGAATAATTCATTGCAAATTGCAATGCACTGGTTCCATGAATGAAATCTAGAAATATTTAGACCTTCCCATTTCAAACAAAAGCTGGTTCTACCAAGTGTGAGTATGCAATTATGCAACTGCTTGATTATTAAGGGTGCTCTGATAAAAACGAAGTTTAAACCTAATGTAATATTTTAAAAAATAACCTTCCAAAATCTATACAGTAGACTATACTGGATATAAAACAAGTTAAAAACTGCAAACCATTCCTTCCCTCACTTGTGCTCAAAACACAAAAGCATGTTTATTGAATAGTTTAATTTAGCTAAATTAAGAGACCACGTACCAACAGAGTGAACTATTCTACAAATTACTGAACTACCTGATTACAAAAGGTCTGAAAAATAATAATTCACAGATATAATAGGCAAAGCCCTTTAACTAGGGAGCAAAGGAAATTAAATTAGGATAGTGAAAGAAGAAAATCCAAGTAGCATATAAATATCTTCTTTACACACACGACAGCCAAACTAAAAACCAGTTATCAGACTGTTATTAGATTACTATGACACAAGCAACCAAAACTCCTAATAGCTTTCCACTTTTTTTCAGGTGGCTTTCAAACAGAGAACAGAAAACGAATTTATTTTCCCTTAGCTCTTGTCTTGCATCCAAAGAAGGAAGTGTCCCATACATGAATAGGAACTATGATAACAGTGGAATAATGAAGTGAAAGAGGCATATAAGAAAATCTATTGCAAAGAACGAAGATGAGAGAAATATTATGTAATCTGTAGAGAAAGAAAAAATATAGCTTCTAAGAATGTGGTCAAGAATGAAAAATAGTTAATATTAAAATAAGTAGACAAAATGCAGAGTAATTTGGAAGGAAATAAAAATTATTTTGGAAATTTGTAAAAAAATAATCTCCAATAGAGTGATAAAAAATAAAGGTGTTAAGATTTTTTTCGCATGAAGTGAAGTAAAGGAATTCTGGAATGAGTATTTGAGGAAATTTGGAATTGAAACGGATGCTATAAATGATAAGAAGAAAAATGATGAAGCACTAAACAATGATGTGAAAATGTTTAAACTTACTAAAGCTGCAAGTGCAGATGATGTAACTGAAGACATATAAAATCTGAATGTCACCAATAGGATATGTGGCCATACTATATGGGTTGCCAACATCTGGAAAGAGTAATACTTCAGGAGCAGAAATGTTCATGTTGGTGGGAGAGCCAGTTTCTCGTAGTCATTAAGGCATCAGGCTAGAAATCAGGAGATTGTGAGTTCTATTTCTATCTTATGCACAAAGCCAGTTGGGTGACTTGAGACCAGACACTCACTTTCAGCCCTAGAAAGCAGGAAATGGCTTCTGAAAAAATCTTACCAAGAAAACTCCAGGCAATCACCAGGAGTAAAAATTGATTTGGGGGGTGGGGGAAGAAAGAAAAAGAGAGAGAGGGAGGGTGGGAGAGAGAATATTAATAGTATGAAAATATTATTATGTATTATATTATTCACCATCAAGACTCTAGTTAATATCTAGATATTTTAAGCATGAGCTGCATAATTTTCCTCTGTCAATTCCTCTGCTAATATTTTTGAATGGGCTTCAGAATAAAAGGGTTACCTTCAGTCCCATAAAGACAAAGGAGCTGTAAAGTGATTCCTATAGAAAACCCATTCTATGAAATGGAAGAACATCTACATCTTTCTTTGTGGTCACCTCCAATCAATTCCTTCAATCACTTCCTGCTTCACCATTAAAGAACGGTTTAATCTCTGATCACTGGAAAGGGGAACATGACTAATTTCTTTTCTAAAAGTGCCATGTTGACATTAAGTGGTGTGGCTTTCACATTGTACATTTTCTCCTGGGATTTTATCTCAGTGGCTGGGCTGGTTAGTGGCTATAAGGACAAAACTTTCGTTCAGTTCCTACAAGTCAAGGAGAGCAGAAATCCTCCACTGCCAGAATGAATTGGTTGATATTTTTAACGTTTAACATTTGGATGACCAGTGGATTACAAAGGTAAGCACATTTCTTTCTTCTTCTGGTCATTCCCCCCCCCCCCATTTTTCTTATTGAGCATTAGAAATTACAATTACAAAGCTGCACTGCCCTTGAAACTTCTTTTATTCTCCTACAATACAAGTACAGCACAGTTCCAGTATTAGAGAAGAAACACATCAATAATGTTTTGTGAATAATCAGTGATGTGTTTAGATAAATGTGGACATATTAATTGTAGGAAGGGGAGGGCCCCCAAAACAACTCTGGGTATTATTTTACTCTCTTCAAAACATTCCAAATCCATCCTGGTGTGGTATACTTTCTGTTCCAAATTCCTGTATCCCCCAAAACACACTGTTCATAAATATATTAAGGGTGAAGAATCATCAAGTTGCAAATCATCAAATATTGCAAGTGGGAGTCCCCTAATGGATAACAGTGAATGCCAGATGAAAGATAAATCACAATAGTTCTATTTGCTACTGTGATGGATTGGACTTCTTTCAGAATTATGCAAAAGAGAGATATTTTTCAAGTATTGAATTTGATACATAATTACTTTCATGTGCAGCATAGGCAAAATTTTCAGGATATGAATAACACACAAAAATCTTAACCTTAGTGGAATTCTAGTACTGCCTGCACTAGAACAAAATGCTTTCCAGATTTTATTATTTCTGTTGATCAGCATTAAGCATATAGTGTCTTCTCTCCTCTCCAGAGTTACCCTGAAAAGACACCGATCTTTGCGGCAAATATTGAGGGAACGTGGGCAATTGCCTCAATTTTGGAAGAAATATAAGATAGACATGGTACAGTACACCCAAGACTGCTCGGTATTTAAAGAAACCAACGAACCCCTCTTTAACTATTTTGATGTAAGTTAAAGCCAAAGTATCAATGAGACCCTGGGGGCAGGGAATGTACAAAGAAGACAAATATCAGCAGTTTTTCCTATGACAGAATTTAATTTTATTAGACTCTCACACCCTGTACTTACAACACAGCTTATAGAAATCCAGGAGTTATTTGACAGTATCCACATATTGTTGGTTTATTATATATAATAAGGCCACTGAAGAAGGCATTGTTCAAAGGACTCAAATTAGTTTATATATATGCATTATAAATATTCATCATATCTACATTTTATTGGTATGAGACATCATGATCTGGGGGAAAGATATAGTTGCCTTAAAGAGTTGTAAACATGCGCTCTGTATCTATACTTATGCGCTCTAATGCACTGCATAGCTTTGTAACTGTGCTAAACTCCAGTACCATTTGTCTGCCAAGTGAAAAAGAAAAGATATTGTCCCATCTTTCCCACTTACTCATCAAATATTTCAGTGGTATCAAAGTTTTCACTGGAAGCTTATGAGGACTGTGAAATATTTGGCTACATCAGTGGTGGGATTCAATTTTTTTTACTACCGGTTCTGTGGGTGTAACTTGGTAGGAGTGGCAGGGGAAGGATACTGTAAAATCTCCAGTCAGAGGTGGTATTTGTCGGTTCTCCGAACTACTCAAAATTTCCGCTATCGGTTCTCCAGAACTGGTCAGAGCCTGCTGAATACCACCTCTGCAAACATAAAAGTTGAATATAAGTGCTAACTGGTAATTTTGCACTTCTACAAACAAGAAATAAACTGCCACATATTTCACACTCCATCACCTCCCAATATTCTTTTAACTTAGCCAACTCTGAAAGTGGGTTAAAAGAAAATTGGTGAGTAATACAAACGTAAATCTACGCCCTAAGAACTAAATGTGTTAAAAAACTTGCACAGTCTGCCTCAAAATCTGCTGGAGAGTTATAACCAAGCTGAACATACTTAAGTCTAGCTAAAATTGGTCCCTGGTGATGGAAAAGTTTGTATATGAGTTATATTGAACAGACTTAATTACTCTCCCTGCAAGTCTTAGCACGCAAAGTCTGAAAAACAGCAGATATGAACAATGTGGAAGGTTAGGATGTGCTTGCCTGCACATCCATGCCCTATTACTTCTCACCTTTTCAGATATGTTTGAATGCCTGCAGAGTGTTTATATCTACTCCAAAAAAATTTTTTTCATTGTACACATATCTGAATTCTCCCTTTTTGCTGCATGGTTGTGGTTGGAAAGGCCGAAGAATGAGCCAATTTTTTTCTTTCTAATAAATCACTCTTTTTCTTCTTCTTCTTCTAAATTTCAGGTTTATATCATAGTCTTGTTCATCAGAAAAGGGTCCACCCAGGACCATACTGATAGGAAAATGGGAGACACTTTAACTGGCAAAATAACACATATCAAAAATTTATTTATTTATTATTTAATTATCAAGAAAATGTTGCAATTTAAATGCTAGGGATGAAAATTAAAAATGAAGGTGTACCAATGGATTATGAGTAAAGCCCCTCCTAAAAAGCTAGTCTTAAAATCCTGTTTAAACTCTTGATCCATTTATGCAAACAACAACACCTAGGTATAATACAAATGCTGATTGGAAAAGTTTGCATTTGACAAAATTCTCCTCTTTTGTTTGGAGAAGGTTTCCAGCTTTATGTAGTCCTGAAGAGTGCTTCTCCATCCCAATATATGAACTATAAATACTTCTTTGTTCTTCTGTTCTGGCAGGTGGAATATTTTGGACAGATCTCCATTGGAAACCCACCACAGAATTTTACTGTACTCTTTGACACTGGTTCCTCCAACCTCTGGGTACCATCTATTTACTGTGTCAGCAAGGCTTGTGGTGAGGATTGGGCAAGGGGAAAGGAAGGCATGATTTTAAATAATCTCCTTGATGTTTGTTCCATCTAAAGGGATACACATTAATAAAACCTGTATAAAAGCTTGTTGGATTTCTTAGATGCCAAACATTGATTTGCACATGGCAGAAACCTTATGAAAATTATTTTAAATTACACTGAATGCTTTGTTAACAGTATGAAAACAGTTAACATATTTTATGTTAGAGGTATCAGTACTTATAGAACTAGCATTATTCAGACCAGTAAATGTTGTTCATGCTTCCAATAAGTCCAAATTAGCAATTTTTTGTCATTTGATTTCCTTGGTAAACAATTGCACATATCAATCATTGCAAGAGCACATTTGTTATGTTCAACACTGGAAATCCAATTATTGAGTAGATTTTTAATACAATAGCCATTCTGTTGTACTTGTAGTATGCTGTAATGTCGCTAACATTTTGTCTGCAAAACACAAACCAAATCTTGCTGTTTGGGGGCATATTTACAATGATAAATGCTAAAATAACATTGCATTCAGGAAAAAAAAAAACACCTTTTGTCAAGCGCCAAGGAAATCAGGAAATCCAGGCAGTTCAAATGTGTATAAAGATTTATTGCAAGCTTAAGCTCCCTACAAGAATCTGAATTATTAACGGGCCAATAAATTGGTGGTAGATAAGAGGCAAAGGAATTCAGGGTAGGCTGGACTTAGATCTCTTGTCGGATTCAGCCTGATCATCTCTTGTTATGAAAAGAGAAACTCCTACCTGTAAAGTAATTGGGTGAAGATTTGTAATAATAATTTAGTAGCACAATGCTAAGTATATTTATTCAGAAGGTTCGCTATAAAAGATAAAACAGCATGAATGGCAACTCAAGGTATCTGTCCTTTGCATACTTTTTCATAAGTGTTCTCTATTGACAACTTATTTTTGAGAAAATATACCCATATAGCATATATAAATGAAATATAACCATACAGCATATGGAGTGCTTGTATAACTAAGATTAGCATAGTTACAGTCATAAGTATATTTTCATTACTGGATCATTGGCAACTCTTGTGTTAAAAAAAACTGTCTTGTACTGAAGCTACAAGCAGCACATTCATATTGCTTTATTTTAAAGACTTTATTTTTCAATAGAAGCCATTAACTGTATACAGCTGTGTGGATTCATAAGGCTGTAATCTTGTACATATTGTACTTGAATAAATATGCACAGGGCTGGACTACAGAAGTCCATAGGCCAGAGATACAAGCATTGATATTTCTTTTATTTTTTTCAATTATAGTTGAACATTCCAGATTTCATCCATCACAGTCCAGCACCTACACTGAAGTGGGTACTCCTTTTTCCATTCACTATGGCACTGGTAGCTTGACAGGAATAATTGGAATGGATCAAGTGACTGTAAGTGAAAGATCCTATTCATGTAAAAGGAATGTGATGCTTTATCTTTTAACCAATTATATTCTGATACAGTAAGGCATTATCCAGCCTGTAAAGGCTACAGTATCTGTATTTATCACTGAGTTCCAAAGCACAGTTCTTTATAGTGTCAAATGTCCTTTCAGGGCAGATGAGCAGCACATTGCAAAAATGGACCATATTTTTGGTGGCATGTCACCAAGGAACCATGTTACAAATTATCATTGCTTTCATTTTCTATGTGTGTTCGTATGATTCATTAGGGGAACTCTGATGAAACATATCTTCCACAGTATTTGAGCAACTGGACTTCCCTTTCCCATTTTTCCTCCTGTGATCTTCCATGCCCTCAGATGAGTACAAGGGGCATTGCCCCAATGACTTGGTGCAGGTTTTAAAGATATGCATGGAGCTGCAGGGAAAACCTGTCCCCATTCCATCCTGGAAAGTGCTATTTGGACAATGTTCTCTAGTCCTTCTGTATTCTTCCTTTCTTCTAGAACAATCTTTCTGAACATGAATATGATTTTTAGATCATATAGTTTTAGGATGGATGATATACAATTCAACCTGGCTTTGAATGAGAATATGCTGCATCAGACTTGTGTAGTTTATTCAAAGTAGCATTAGCTATCCCAAATCTCCATGATGAAACACCAGTTCAGGAAGGGAGGGAGTGTGCTGTATTAGCATACTCCAAACCCTCGCAACTGATTGGTCCGGACGGACAGCGACCTGATTGGTCGAAACCCCGGCCGTGATTGGAGCGCTAAGAATCTACTGCGATTGGCTGTGCTGATCGCGGGAGATTCAAAGCGCTGCCATTGGCCGCCGAGCCACGCGCCAGCCCTATATGAAGGGCTGCCGCAGCTTGCATTCCCCCAGACTATTTCTATCCTAAATAAAGAGCTGAACTCACAGAATGGTCTCGTGTCTCCTTCGACCCGATCCACCTCAGATCTAACACTGGCGACGAAGGTGGGATCGTGAGACAAAGAGACCACCCAGCACGTGGCGAGGCGGCACACAGCAGCAAGCAGAATGGCCGGCATAAACTCACCACTCGCACCCTTCAATCCCGCTACCGAGGACTGGGAATCCTATACCGATAGGTTCCAGATGTTCCTCGAGTGTAGCAATCTCAAAGATGCCAATGGTCACAAGAAACGGGCCGTATTCCTCGCACACTGTGGGCTGGCAGTGTTTAAGATGGCCAAAGCCTTGGCCAAACCAGAGGACGTCAAGACCATGGAGTGGGGCGACCTCGAGCCCCTGCTACGAAGCCACTACGCCCCCATCGTGCCCATCCTCATCCGGCAGCACGAATTCTACAGGCGGGACCAGCGCGAGGGCGAGGGGCTTGGCGACTTCATAGCGGCACTACGCGATTTGGGGGGGCTTGTGCGAGTTCGCCGACCTGGACGAGGCCCTGCGAGACCGCGTCGTCCTGGGGCTCCGAGACCCCATTCTCCAGAGCCGCATCATGGCGAAGGGTGACATCTCCCCCGCCGATGCACTCACAGAGGCTCGGATGCGGCAATCGAGCATCGCGCCACGAGCAGCGACCGGCGAGACGACACCGAACCCCGAGAAGCGACCCGAGATCGACCACCGGGACGCAACCACGCACCACGGCGACATTGACTCCTTCTCAGGGACCGAGGACGAGGAGGAGGAAATCCACCGCCTGCAAGCAGCACGAGGGCGACGGGAACCCCAAGGTCGTAAGTCAAGGTTCCAGTGCGCCGGCTGCGGAGGCGATCACCCCCGTTCGGACTGCCGGTTCCTCGATGCCGTTTGCCAACAGTGCGAGAAACGGGGGCACATCGCCAAGGTGTGCAGAAATAAAAAACACTACAGCCCGCGGCGACGAGATGGCAGCCCTCGCAGGCAAGAGAACACCCCCACCGGATACCGAGACCGCCAGACGGAGAGCCGCTGGAGCCAAGAGGGTCAGAACAGGCGGCTCAATGAGGCAAGGCAAAGGGAGGAAACACACCAGACCGTCATCATCGGCCATTCCTCCACAAGAGACGCCAGAAAGGTATACGTGACAGTGGGGATAGAAGACCAACCATGCGACATGGAGGTGGACTCTGGGTCCTCCCTCTCCATGGTCTCATGGCACACCATCAAGCGCCTGGTTCCCTCCATCCGCCGCAAAGAATTAGAAGACCAAACACTAACCCTCAAAGACTACCAGGGAAACCGCATCCCTGTAGTTGGCAGAGGCCATTTTAAAGTCACCTTCAAGAACCACACCGAAGTGCTACCCCTGACCATCGTTGACCGGGATCGGCCGAGCCTGTTGGGATTACAGTGGTTCGCACCCCTAGGCATTGAAGTAACCGGAATCCACCGCACCGCAGAGTCGGACTGGGAAGCGGCGCTCGTGGAGGACTTCCGGGAAGTTTTCGACGACAGCCTAGGCAAGTACCGGGGGTCCCCTATCTCTTTTAACATAGACCCGGGCATCGCACCAATCTGCCTTAAACCCAGACGAGTGCGATTTGCACTCAAGCCCAAGATCGATGAGCAGCTAGATAAGCTCATCGCGCAAGGGGTACTGGAGCCAATCGATCATGCCAGGTGGGAGACCCCCATAGTCACCCCCATCAAGCCAGATGGGTCCGTGAGAATTTGTGGGGACTATAAGGCCACCCTAAACCACGCGCTCCAGCAAAGCGCATACCCCGTCCCAGTAGTGCAGCACCTTCTGCACTTGCTGGGGGGAGGCCGGATCTTTGCCAAACTCGACCTGGCGCAAGCCTACCAGCAACTGCCGGTCGATGCCGAAACCGCTGAAGCCCAGACCATCGTAACGCACCAGGGGGCTTTCCGTTGCAACCGGCTCCAGTTTGGAGTCAGCATGGCACCCGGGGTCTTCCAAAGCCTCATGGAAAGACTACTCCAGGGAATAGAGGGGGTGGTGCCCTATTTTGACGACGTCTTAGTGGCCGCGAGAGACGAAAAGCAACTAGAAGCCCGGTTGAGGGAGGTACTGAAGAAATTCAGAGACTTGGGGCTCAAAGTCAAGAAAGGGAAGTGCCAGTTACGGGCTGAGAGGGTCGAATTCCTAGGGTACCTCCTAGACAAACAAGGGATCCACCCCACAGAGAAGAAACTGAGAGCCATAAGGGAAGCGCCACGACCCAAAAACAAAACGGAACTGCAGGCTTTCTTGGGACTGTTAAACTTTTACAATGTCTTCCTACCTCAAAAGGCGACCGTGGCGGAACCGTTGCATAGGCTGCTAGATAAAACAGCCACCTGGACCTGGGGAGCACGGGAGGAGAGCGCTTTCAACAACACAAAGAAACTGCTAACATCTGACGCGGTACTAATCCAGTACAGCGAGACTCTGCCATTAACGGTAACGTGCGACGCATCGCCTTTTGGGATCGGCGCCATCCTCAGCCACCAACTACCAGACGGGAGGGAAGCACCCATCACCTTCTCATCAAGGACACTTTCAAAGCCGGAGCGGAACTACAGCCAGCTCGACAAAGAGGCCCTAACAGTCGTCACCGGCGTCAAGAAATTCCACTAATACCTTTACGGTAGGACTTTTACAATCATCACAGACCACAAGCCGCTGCTAGGGATCCTGGCAGGAAATAAGGCCACACCGAACATTCTATCACCAAGAATGACAAGGTGGTCTGAGTTCCTGTCAGCATACAACTACCAGCTGATCCACCGACCCGGGAAGGACATCACCCACGCAGACGCCCTGAGCCGCTCACCCTTGCCCGAGCTAGAAGATGACCCGGCACCCACGACAGAGGTATTTCAAATAGAGACAATACCCAACCCACTAGTGACCGTGCCAGACATTGCCAGAGAAACAAATAAAGACAAGCGGCTGGCGCGAGTCCTAAGCTGGGTTGGAAAAGGATGGCCGGAAGGGGACAGGGACGAACTATTCAGACCCTTCCGAAACAGACAAACTGAACTCTTTACCGAGAAGGGCTGTATACTTTGGGGAGACAGAGTGGTAATCCCGGAAACATTACAAGAAAGGGTATTGGGGATGCTGCATGAGGGGCACCCAGGGTTGGTTAAGATGAAAAGCCTGGCCAGAAGCTATGCATGGTGGCCAGGCATGGACAAACAGATCGAAACCTGGGTAGCCAAGTGCAAACAATGCCAAGAGTCCAGACCCAGTCCTCCCGCCGCCCCAATACAGGAATGGGAAACACCAAGAGGACCATGGTCTCGGATTCACATAGACTTCGCGGGGCCAACCAAGGGGCACATGTACCTCATCACAGTAGATGCTTACTCCAACTGGCTGGAGGTAAGCACCATGAAATCAACCACAACGGAGGCGGTAATAAGGAAACTGGGCAAACTCTTTGCCACACACGGCCTGCCAGATATAATAGTATCTGACAATGGGCCCCAGTTCACCGCACTAGCGTTTGAACAATTTCTGGCAGGCCAGGGCATACGCCATGCATTAACCGCGCCGGCAAATCCGGCGGCGAACGGACGGGCGGAACGCATGGTCCAATACACAAAAAAAGCCATACAGAAAATAGAAACAACCAACATACAAGATAAAATCAATAAAATGCTCCTCATCCAACATATTACACCGAGCGCAACCACAAACAGAAGCCCGGCAGAACTAATGATGGGCAGGAAACTACGATCAACACTAGATAGAATGCACCCCACATACACCCCTGACAAACCCCCGGGTTCCTCCAGCAAGCATAGAAAATTCAACATAGGTGATGCCGTATACGCAAAAAACCTGTCGGGGGAACCACTCTGGATACCAGCAACGATCACCCAAATAACCGGCCCCGTATCATACCGACTAGAAACAAGCGACGGGAAAAACTGGAAATGGCACATTAACCAACTAAGGTCCAGAATAACTAACAACCATACACCCGAACAAGAAACTAGAAGGGGGGGGGAACGGAAAGCGTTAAAGAAAGAGGGACCCCCCTAGTGCAAGCCGAACAACCCCCACCCGGAACAAATAACCCGCAAATAAACCGGTCCTACTCACCTGTAAACGCGGGACCAACAGAACAGGCAACTCCAG